GGCAAAAGGGTAAAATAATTATATTAAGGAAACATCTCTACATTCTACTACTGTGCCTCAAAAAGTAAAGGAAAAGTAATTATATCCACAATATGTTATATCTGCACAATATATATGCATATATATATATGTGTGTTGCAGAAGTAAAATTATTATGTCCACAATAGTTCTGTTGTTAAATGTTGTTATGCTGTGAAAAACTGCACAGCAAAATTGCTAGATATATTCATATAAATGCATTGAGAAGGAAACAAAAGTAGCTATCTTTTGGCTGTTGAAATGACTGGGAATTTCTCTTTTCCATGTATTTATTTGAAACGTGTAATAAGAGCTCTTAGAAATGTCCCTGAGGGTCACGTGACTAAGACCACAATACAATAATGTATTATGAGTTCTGCCTACTCCCAGTTCTCAAACTGGCACAAATCAAGGACAAGGAAAAGTCACAATAACAAGAAGAGAAAGATCATTAAAGTGAGCAGCTGGCAAGTCAGAAGTTGAGGTGAGGTGGCAACATCCTGGAAAATGTATTATCCAGATATTTCAGATGGGTCAGGACAGGCACCAACTAATCAGAAAGTTCAAGGAAGCCACAGGACCCCAGTTCATAACCACTGGTGCTGAAGCCCCAGTAGAAACTGCTACAAATGGGTACCCAGTCACACTGAGCACCTGCATAGTTCCTGTGATGGATTCTAGGGACTCTAAACCAACTGTCACAGAGGTCTGAGCTAACCATTCAATTTCTCGTTTCTAAAAATTGACTATTTGGGAAAATCATATATTGATACTGGAGCAGAAGTTTACTAGACTTCTCTTATATCATTTAAGAAAATATTAATATTTAAGAAAAATTCAACAACTTAAAAAATTTAAATACCCTAAATAATCAGGAGATAAAACAAAAAAATGATCTAAGTGTTATTGATCTAAGTGTTATTGCAAATAAATCTTCCTATTCTCAACTGAGAATACATTTAAGACTTGCTTTACTAATTTTAATCATGTGGTGAAGCACAGGGATCTGTGTACGAGTATGGGCTTGTGAGTGTGGGCGCTCAAAGAAGCCAGAGGCACCAGATTCCCCAGGAGCTAAAGTTTGTGAGACAACCAAAACGGGTGTTGAGAACCCACCTAGGTCCTCTGCAAAAGCAGTACATGCTCTTAACCACTGAGACACCCTTCAAGCCCCAAGAATATATGTATTTATAATATGCATGATATATAACATGTATTATATATTTAAAGTCTGAATGCTATGTATTAAAACTTAAGAAATGAGTCTTTGACTAGGAATATAACTCAGTGATACAGCTTAACAGTCATGAAGCCATGAAATCAATCCATATCACATGTAAAAATATTTTTTCAAGTGAGCCTAATGCTGCATTCAAAGGAAAATTCATAGTACTAAATATTTTCATTAGGAGGGGAAAGGAAGAAGCACATATTAACTCAAGCCTGCACTTCAAGACATTTGGAAAAGATGAGTAACTTTTTTGAACACCAAGAAAATAGAGCACAGAAATATATCCAAGTAGAAATAAATCTAAAAGCCCTTTGTATGACCCCAAAAGCCAAGGACAAACTGTGACAAAATTTATGCGAAAAAGAAAGAATTCATTATCATATCTTGAAAAATTTTAGAATATCTTCTGTCTTTAATGCCTTGTGTTCTCCTGGTCGATTTGAAATATTCCATGGGGACATGGAGAATCTGAGGAGTTTTTACTGAAGGGAGCAACTGGAACGGAGAGGTATTCCCCTTTTGACAACAGATCTCGATGCGGTTTCCAGAGATTTGCCCAGACGGTGCTCATTCACCTCTTTCCACACCCAGCCACTTCCCTGGAAAGACACTTTCCCAGACCCCTCCCGCTGCTTCCTACTTACCACTAAAGCTCAGGTTTTATCAAGGCTGAATTTGCATTGGGGCAAAAAGGGCAGGCGTGGGTTCCGGCTTAATGAAAGAAGGTTGGGACAATGACAGCAGAGGGTTGCCACCCCCTCCAGTTTGGGCTCTGGTCTAGCTAGCTGGAACTTCACGACAGAAGCAAAGGTCTCAGTGACAGAGTAGGACACACACGAAAGAAAATCTTCAGCAGAACTCTGAGAGACAGCATCAGGGGTTCTCTGGATGCTGGGACTCCAGCAAGGGGAATGCCAAAAGAAAAAGAAAGAACCACAAGCTGTGGTCCTTATAACTGCTATTGACAGCAAGATTGGCCACCAAATAGAAAGGGGACTTGATGGCTGACCATTAGATAGAAAAGTGACATTACTTTGGAGATAGAGGAGTTAAGGCATATCATGTTCCTGAGCTCCAGCTCTCATGCCTGTAAGCTCCAGCTTCTATGCCCTCTGCCCCATGTATCCAGATGTTATCTTAGAGTGACAAGAAGTGGTAAAAAGCAGTCTGATACACTGTGAGGGCTCTAGCAGGCCTGAACACTGCAAACATGGTTCTGGGTAGCTTTGTCCTTCCCCTATTCCCTCTTTCTTGCTAAAAACCATTAGATTACAATCTTAAAGCTAGCCATGAAGGTCTATTCTCTGATTGGCTACTTTCTCTTCCTGAGGCTGATTACCAAGATCCAGCTGTCAAAGTACTGAAGTCCTGCAATCAAAAGCCCCCTTTTGGCTACCCTAATTAATCCATTCAATCAAAATTAAATATGTCATCCTAATACAGTGTTTCCTATGGGTCATTATCCTATGGGCCACAACTGTCTCCTCTCTATCTGGGGGCAGTCCTTTGTCCTTCCAGGACAAAGATCCCTTCCCCTCTCCCCTCCTTCCTTTTCCCTTCTCTCTCTTCCTCTGTCTTCTGTCTTTGTCTCTGATTTCCTGCCATCTGTCTCTCTTGGATAACTACATCTCCTTTGTGTTAAGAACTTGGTCTTGGGGTGTCCTGTGCCTATATTGATCCTTTCACACTGAGTATGTATTTCAAGAAAGAATGGATGTTGTCAGAAAGAGATAGTAAATTGCCACACACACACACACACACACCCACACCATTTTGTCCAGCACCTCTAAAAAACACACAGGAGGGAACTTAGAATGGGTTTTTAGCTCCATACATAGATAGATGTCTGCTACACAAGAAGCATTCATGGAATGTTGGCTACTCTTATTACTGCTAGCATCAGTAACAAGGAAGAATAGACCAGCCACCAAGAAAGGAAGAAGTGGCAATTTCTCTACAAAGCCAAGCAGTAGTGAATTAAAATTTGCTCCCCTGCTCCATGAATAATAAAAATCATGAATGAGAAATATATAAAATAGATCAAAGGGCAAAGAAGGTTTTTTAACAAACACAACAGTCTTGTTTAAATGAAAAGAATCTTAATAAAATGGACCACGTTCAGTAAAAATATGAACTTACCTATATTAGTTCAAAACGTATGCCAAAGAGAAGAGAAGGATGCCAAAGAAATAAAAATTCATCAGTGGCCTCAGGAAAGACCTGGGACTAGACAACGGAAGGACTGCATGCTTTTGAACTTCCCAAAGGGAAACCCCAGGACAAACAATAGTTGAATGACTTGCAGACAGAAGGCCTCCCCTGCCTCACTTCATAGAGAAAGCTACGCCTTTTATGAACATAAAGTTGATCTAAATCAAACTGTATACCAGTGTTTTCTCAAAAGTTTTGTTATTCCAGGATTTCCTATGTTTCTAACAGACTATGGAATTCAAATGAGGTGTCTGTGGCAGCCTGTAATAGTTCTTCATGGTAGAGTTTCTTCTTGATACTTCTAGATCTTTCTGAGGATCAGACTCAGAGCCTTGTGGAAAGGAATGTCCAGCCATGCAATCAGAAGATTAAGGTGGACCCAAGAATACACAGGAGGACAGAAAGGAAAATAGATAAAAGGAGAAAAGGGGACAGTATACAAAATTGCCACAGTAATAGCACATCAGAGCAGGACGTGGCATGTTCCGCTTGTGGAAGCAGAAATTGATTCAAACCATCTAGGAAGCAATTGCAAAGAAATGTGATTTGGAACATTAAATGCATGTTCACTTTGACCCAATAATCTGACTTTCTATCAGTCCTTCTTAGGAAATGAGTCTGAAATGAAAATAAAGATTTACATACAAGCATGGATTTAATAGAATATCTCCTAGCAAACAAAACAAAATGAAAATATGAAAGCATTTAAATGAGTAAAGACAAAATTATTTAAATAGACTACAGAATATTAGTATGGTTAATATTAGTAAGCAATGTTGGTGGGGGAGGCAATAAAATCATGTCCAGGTCTACAACCATTTAGGGAAAAAGAATGGCACGACCTACAAAGGAAAATCTCACATGTATTTTCACATATACCAAATAGACTTTACAGGGACATAAAATACACCAATCTCAACCTGGAAATACCTGAGTCTGGGGCTCTGAGTAAATAATAATTTCTTTTATGTATTTCCCCTATGTCTTTCTGCATTAAGTTGTACTATTCCTATAACCAGAAAAATAGATACCCAATAATTACTGTACATAAGTACACATTCATATAATAGGGAAAAAATTTAAGTCCTCATTCACCCAGGACAAGCACACTCACAACACACAGAAAAATTGCATCTCTCCAAGCCTGAACCTCAAGACAGATGCACTTTAAAACACAGACAGCAGCACACTAACCAGGCCCCTAAGTGGACAGGCCAGTGGCTTCTCTCGGGTTTGTCACACATTATTATCTACAGAATTCAGCACCCATCTCCTAAAGTTTGGCCATTTTTTAGTGTCTTGTTTGAAAGAATACTGACATAAAGGGATGGATTTTAAAAGATTGACATGCATAGTTTCTCTCTTACACTGCGCACATGTGCAGGCACGGGGGCGCGCGCACGCGCCCACACACACACACACACACACACACACACACACACACACTTCAGTAGTATGGTCCCAGACAGACCCCTCAAGCAAGTCCCACGGGTGCAGCCTTGTCCAGTCCTTGCCCACCCGCCCTTAAGGGTTCTGGTACCTGTTCCTGGTGCGTGGTACTGGGGTGGTGGGGCTCCTGAGCGTCGTCCTCAGTGCTGTCGAGGCGCCGCGGGTGTCCCCCCTGCTTTCCTCCACCAACTGCCTGTACAGTCACCGAGAAAACTAAGTTACTACACCGCCTTGGGAGCCATTGACTGGCAGGCTGGGCATTGTGCTCCAAACATAACTAGGGTATGCTTGTGCACTGCTACTCCCAGGATGGTTCCTTAGGAAAAGAAAACCCGGAGCGGTATGAGGGAGTCCTGGAGCCTGGCGGGAAACCTCGACGGCAGGTTCCGCTCCACAGCTCCCTCGCCCACAGCCCACAGAGATGCTTTCCGGAGCCCTCCCAACAGAGGCGGGTCCCTTTTCACTTCATACCATGAGAACCAGACAAGTGTCTCCTCTCTGCGACCCCGGAGCCCTACCCCACCCTCAAGGAGACGTTTAGCCAAAAGTCTACGAGCAAGCGGCCAGTCACATGAATCTGAGCAGGGGCTCCCCGGGACGCAGCGCCCAGCACGCAGCATGGGTGCGCGGGACCTTGCAGGTGGGGCGAGCTGATGCCGGGGAATTACCTGGAGCGGGCGGACGTGTCTACCGGGCACCAGAACAGACGCAGCAGGAGCAGCAGCATCAGGCTGGTTACCAGGGCGAGCAGCGTGACCCCCAGTCTCATCCTGAGCCATGGGCGCCCTCGCCGCCAAAGCTGCCTGGGCGAAGCGCAGCCCGGGCGGCATCGACTCGCCGCTCCGGCCGCCGCCGCCGCCGCCGCCGCCACCGCGGCCGCTGCCACGCACACCCCCAGCGTTCAAAGGCGGTGGCGCCGGCCCGCACTCTCGGGGACTGCCCCGAGCCCAGCCTGCAACAGTGTTGCGGAGCACTGAGCCGAGGAAGCCTCGTGCCAGCTCGCTCGCCCCTGGCCGCCGATGCTCTCTGTCGGCTAGCCGATGACGATCCTCCGAGCTCGCCGCCTGTCCTCCCGGAGGCGCTCCAAGCCGCTACGGGCTTTGGGCGCTGCAGCCGCTGCTGCTTCTGACTCCTGCTGCCGCTGCCGCTGCTGCCACCACCGCCGCGCGGGGTCACCTGAAGGTTGGGGCACGAGCTCTCAACTCTGTGCTGATTGGACACCAACTTTTCGGCGCTCTCACCTTCGCCCGAGTGCGCGCCTGGCTCTTCAGAAGCCCCACGCGCCCCACCCAATCACACTGCGACTGGGCTGCCTTGCTGGGGGCACAGAGCTAGGACCTAGAGGGCTGAAGAGGAGAGCAGAAAGGACCTGCTTCAAAAAGTTTGCAAACCAAGTTGCTAGGCTGGATCCTCCCACGTGCCTGGAGCTACCAGGGACATGGTGGTATTTTAGTAGACCTTCGCATAGCATGAGGAAAATCACCTTCCATCGATAAAATGCAGATTTAGGGTGACAGCTGACACTAGTTACCAGAAAATCTTTTTTTCTATGATTTGAGTAAGACTTATTGTTACCTTTATTGCCTACAATCTAGAAGATGCAATTTTATTGTGCTTTTCCAAACAGGATAACAACAACAACGACAAAAAAAAACGGATTAAAATTTTCCATACATATAGCTCTATACGACAGATGACAGTAACACTATTCATAATTATAGAAACACTGTATAACCCAGGAGCATGGGATAAACCAAAGAATAGACTCCAGAGCCATCTGAGCAAAATGAGCTGATGAATTCTTAGTACTGTTAGAAAACACGGTGAAGAAATGCATGCACACTGCAGTCATGAGTGACAGGGCCAACTGCGGTTGCTTGCTAGCTTCGGGGTGATGGTGAATTTCCACATGCACACTCACTCACACAGCCAGCAAATCTTTAAGGGTGACTAATCCACCTACCTTTGGCCAGATCCACCCCTGCCTGCTTTCTAAAAGCTGTTTTATTGGACATCTTCGTGTCTGGTACTTTGTCCTGTCGATGATCACAAGGTTGTGTGACTGTAGCATTATAAAGGCAGCACTGAGTGGTGGTGACAGAGAGCCTACAGCTCTCAGTATCGGAAACATTTACTCTCTTAATTTCCAGAAAAACCAGATTTGCCTATTACCAATGGAGGAAATCTCTGCATGTTGAATTCTTGCCTAACCCAGAACCTAATTGAAAATATAATAAACACGGAAGTTTCAGCCAATAATGGGAGAATGCATCGACCAATCATAGACAGCCAACTCATGGCACCATGCAAATTAGTCAGCTATAGATGTAGCCAATCAGGTGCTCACTCTACCTAAGACTCTTCGCGCCTGCGTAACAAAAGCTTGCTGCTCCTGCTGGGCAGATGTTCCCCAGCCTCTTCTGTTTCAGAATGCTGCCAGATTCAGGAATCCTTTGTTTAAGTAAATCATTGAAATTAATTTGTATAAAGTGTTTCTTTTCTCGGTGTATTAGATTGATAGGTAGTTTGTGTATTGACACCCTAGTCTCCAGTATGAGTGGATCCAAAGAGCGGCTCTCTCAAGATGGGAGTAGCAGGGAGTTTCTCATAAGAAACATGAGGCTGGCGAGATGGCTCCTTGAGCTCCTGAGTTGGACATCCAAATCTACATAAAAGCAGAGCCTAGAGGGTAATTCTAATGCAGAAAGGCAGACCGTAGAGTTCACACTGAGCAGCATCTAGCTGACCTGGTTAGCTCAAGGCTCAGGAAAAGCCCTGTGCCAAACAATAAGGTAGAGGGTGATAGAGGAAGACACCCAACACCAGCCTCTGACTTCTGTACCTGAACACACACACACACACACCCACACACCCATGCACACACACGCACACACACCCATGCACACACGCATACACACACACCCATGCCCACACACGCACACACACCCATGCACACACACGCATACACACACACCCATGCATACACACACACACACCACGGGGGAGGGGAGATTGCGGGAGGCAGGACTACTTTCTCCCTGTTCTGTAAGGGTACAGTCAAAGGCCAACTATGTAGGGAAAAGGGCCAGCCAAAGAAACACACCCTGAGCAGAGCCAAAGAAACACACTTTGGCCCTGCAACCAGAACCGAAGAAATGTACCATAACCCTGAAACCAGTGCCAAAGAAACACACTTTGGCCCTGCAACCAGAACCGAAGAAAGGCACCCTGATCCTGAAACCAGTGCCAAAGAAACACACTTTGTCCCTGGAATCGGAGCCAGTGAAAGAAACAAACTTTGGCCCCAAAACCAGAGCCAAATATTACCCTAACCCTGTGGAGAAAACTACCCAATCCCTGAGCAGGAGATTAAAATCTGACCAATCCCCACCCTGGAAGCCCTATATGACCCCTGTGTCTGCTCAGCTTATGGCTGTTTGTGCTATCCAGCTGTCCTCTGCCACTCTGGCAGAGAGCAGCCACTCTACCAGATTCTTCCTTCCCAATAAACCCTTTCAATGACCTTTGTGTGAAGACCTTCTTTTACAGCGAACCAGAGACGACCCTGGGCAGAGCAGAGCAAGCAGGGCTGTAACACTTCTGCTGGGAAAACCTTTCCCTGGCAGAAACAACTTTCCACCTCCCAGGAGCAGAGCTGAACTGTAGCAACTTCACCTGGGGAAACCTCCTGCAGGAGTAAAACTGCTACACTGGGCAAACATCCCCAGCTGGAAGACCCTCTCCTGCCGGAGTAGAGTAGGAGTAGAGCCGATACACTAGGGAAGCCTTTCCCTGAGGCAGGGCAGTAAGCTGCTATGCTTTCTGCAACCTGTGGTGGTCCTTGGCTCCGGAGCTCCAGGATACCTTTCCGTCTGAGCTGTGTAACACTTAGTATTCTGTGACTCTCGAGTGCCAGAATACCTGTCCCATCTGATCCTGATCCATCCAAAATGCCTACAAACTAGCTGCCCACCAAGAGGTGAGCCTCACTATGAGCTTCACAATGCTGGAACTCTGATCTTGAACTTCTCCAGATCTTTAAAAACTTTCCTGTGTCATCCCTCCATGCAACAGTATTTATTTCTGAGCAGCTGTAACTGACAAGGATGCTTGCTCCAGACCATGTTAAGTAGTATCTCATTTACTTGTTAGAAACTCACTTGTTGCAGAACTATGAGCCAATAATGAGGTGACATAATCTGGCTATCCAGTTATTCACTTAGAAAACTGTCTCAATGCAGCCTTAAATTATCCTGTCCGGGCATGATAAATTATCTGCCCCAGACCCCAAGGGTAGGCAAGCTTCCTATGCAGTATCTGTAACTCTAGATCCCTGGAGTACATCAACAAAGCAAAAAGCTCACAGCATTTGTCAAATAGGAGCTGATTTTGATTACTGTTTCTACTTTTGAACACATGAGATTTTTTCTTTTTAAATTTAAATTAGAAACAAGGTTGTTTCAGTGTCAATCCCAAGTCCCTCTCCCTTTCCCTCCCCTCCTCCCACGTCCTCCCTCCAACCCCCCCAAACCTCCTTGTTTCCCCAGGGAGGGTGAGGCCCTCCATGGGGGGGGGCATAGTCTGTCATTTCATCCAGGGCAGGACCTAGACCCTCCCCCAAGAGTCCAGGGTGAGAGTGCATATTTCATTGTTGGATGGGCACCCCAAGTCTATTTGTATGCCAGGGATAAATACTGATCTTCTACCCAAGGTGAGATATTTTTCAAAAACAGCCTTAGTGCTCTATCATCGTGGGAAAATCTTTACTTTAGATATCTTGAAGGTTCAAAGAAATGGATCAGTGGGCAAAGTGGAGTACTGGAACTCAGATCACCAACACCCAGGTAAAAAAAGCTAGGCATGGTTGTTCAAGGCTGAACTTCAACACTGGGGCAGGAGGAGGAATGGCAGGTCTTGAAGGTTCACTGTCCAGCCAATCTAACCAGGTTTACTGAACGACCCTATCTCATAAATACAGTAGAGAGCAATAGAGGAAGACACCCATTGTCATTCTCTGTCTCTCTGTCTCTCTCTCTCTCTCTCTCTCTCACACACACACACACACACACTTAAGTTTTTCTAGTCTCCTTGTGCTAATCTGTATCTACTATAAAAAATACTTGACTGGAGCCACTCTGTGAGTTCAAGGCTAGGCTGGACTGACAGCCTCCAAAATAATACAGAGAAACCCTGTCTCGTAAAACCAAAAAAAATAAATAAATAAAATAAAATACTTGACTGAAACCAAACCAGAGGTGTGCATAGAGTAGTTGATCTGATCAGTAGTTGGTCAGACAATGAATAAAACCACTTTGGAACTAATGTTATTATTAATGAGAAAAGGCATCGTGAAGCTGAAAATAAGTGTGACTAAAGATATGATTTCCCTCTATAGCTCACCACTGCCATTAAAATAATCAATAAAGAAAAGCTGCTGCTGTTACACAACACTGACATTTTTAGGGATTCAGTTACTTACCCTGCATATGATACCAAGGAATGCTACATTCTCTCAGTGCTAAAACGATGTGGTGGGGCTGGCAAGACAACTTAATGGATAAACACGCTTGCTGTGCAAGTCTCACAACTTGGGCTTCATTCCTGAATTCCTTAGTGGAAGGAGAGAACCAATTCCTAAGGATTGTCCCCTGATCTATGGACACACGTGTGGCACACCACATCTTGTGTATGTGCATGCACACAAAATAACAATAAAATCAAAACTTTGAAGAATAAAGATTAAATAACGTAAATGAAATGGTGATGCGTAATTAAAAGGTCATTCCACCTTTCAAGTGCCTAGTTGCTGTACAATTATCCTCTACTGGACAGTGAAGGAATTGCCTGGCTTTGGGAGATACCCTGAATTATATTTCTGTGCAGACAACTTATACTAACAATGATCTGCAGAAAAAGAAAGGGGCATTAGGATATCAGCCAAGAAGATGTAATTTCACCTGATTTGCTAAGTTTAATATTTCAACACAGCTGGGCTCAAGGCAACTGCAAGAATCATCCTTGCACTGGGTTCCCTAAACACCCTTGCTGTAAAATGTTATCATTCCAATGGCTACCATCAGGGGACTCACAAAAGTCCATTTTAATTGAAAAACCAAGTGTCAATTTGCAATGGGAATTCAGAGCTGAGCTTTAAAATTTGACAGTGGAGAACTTTACATACACTTTGTCATTTAAACCTTGGTTGGTAACATGAATTATCTTGCTTATCCTTAAGAGACAAGAAAGTGGTGAAAATAAGAAGTTTTAGATTTTTTTTATCAGTTGAAAACTGATACCAAAGAAGCCATGAATTTTCTATGTGCAAGTTTGACCAGAGAGCTCTGCCAAGAAAGATTTGGGATATGGAAAGACTGTACCCAGATATGAACTCAGGCCTCTGTGCCAAACTAGTGTGTGAGCAGACAGAACGCAGCAAATCTGCCTCTTGTGGATGGACAGTGGAGTCCAGGCAGTACCTTCTGGAATTTTCCAGTTTCTTATGGCCCAGAACAAGGAAGTAGACAGGGATATGTGGACAGTGGCAGAAACAATGACAATTCATTAAGAAAGGGAACATTTTGAGAATCAGAGAATAGGAAAGGCTGGAAGTTAAATGGCTCTAGCCCATTGTTGTACTCTCTTATGGGTTATTTGCACAGTGCCTACCTTCTCCTGCATTTGTATACCTACTGTATTAATAAGGGTTCTTAGAATAACAGAATTTTTAGAAGTAGTGGGTTTCCAGTCATACACATGCACCCCCATATATACATATATGAAAGAGAGAGAGAGAGACAGAGAGACAGAGAGACAGAGAGACAGAGAGAGAGAGAGAGGAGAGAGAGAGAAAGAGAGAGCACTATGGTCTAGCTAATTCAACAATGGCTGGCCATGAATAGAAAATCCAATAATCAGTCTACGAGACTGATGTCTCACCTGGTTTTCAGTACATGCTGGAATCTCAAAGAAGTAGGCTCTAATGCCAGTGAAGGAATGGACTTGCTAGCAAGGTGAGAGCAAGCAGTCGATAAGCAAAGCTTCCTTCTTCCATGTCTTTATATGTGCTACCAGCAGAAGGTGTGGTCCAGGGTGGAGGTGAGCTTTCCGAGTCCAAATGATCTGGGTGTGTCTTACCAACTCAAGAGTTGGATTAAAAGCATATCTTCCTGCCTCAAAGATCCATATAGGAGTGGATTTTCCTGCTTCAAATT